TACAGAAATGTGCTAGGTCATAATGGTGTTTCATTGCATTTAATGTTTATGAAAATATCTACTATCAGAAGAATGTAGGTGGTGTGCAGGAGGCAGCCTATCAATTTATATGTTTCTATCTTTCTGTCCTTCCTTCCTCTCTCTAAAATCAGTAATAAAAAAAAGAATAGTATCAACAAATGATTTTTTTCTCTCTCATGGAAGGTTGCATCTACATAATTAAAAAAACTGGAAGAGTGGCAATAAGTATTAGTTTTTGTCTTTTCAAATGTTACTATCTACCCATTATTAACCATATCCCATTGCATTTTTGCTGCTAGTAATTGCTCGGATAAGTAACTGAATTCTTCTGTACTTCCCTTTGTCTATTAGGTCTAAATAAATGCATTCCATGTAGTTTGTGCTATCACTTAGTTAAAAAAACAACAAAACTCCAGTCTGTGCCCTGGCTAGTGTGGTTTGTCCAGTGGTTAGAGCATTGTCCCTTGCACCAAAGGGTCATGGGTTCAATGCCCTGTCAGGGTACATACCCAGGTTGGAGGTGCAATAACCAGTTGGGGCACAATACCCAGTTGGGGTGCATGCATGCATGAGGCAACCCAATCAATGTTTCTCTCTCACATGGATGTTTTTTTCTTTTTCTAGAATGAAAAATATATCCTGGGGTGAGGAATAAAATATCATAAAAACTCCAGCCTTATTTATGGAGTGAAGAAGGATCATATAATAAAATTTAGATTTTAGAGTCTAATAGAGTTTTTTTTTTGTTTTTTTTTAATGGGAATTCATGATGTAGTGCTAATTTTTCCTGAGATGTGTTTGTGTTGAATGGTGGAGGAAGATAGAGCAAAAATAAAACAAGAGAAACAGATAAAGAAAACATTTTATTTGTCTCCTTCACATTGATGTTTCTCTGTTTCTTCTCATCCCTTTCACTCTCTCCAAACTCAATGGAAAAATATTTTCAGGTAAGTATTAACAATAAGTTCAATATCTGTCAATAGCTGTATTATTCTGACCAAGGAAAATTTTGTTGTAAATATTTGTCTTGTTTGTACTAAGTATTTGACCATGTTTCCTTATCTAAGACAGTGCCTTTTCCTTGTTGCTTTCTATGATGGCCTGTGTGTGCTGCTTTAGTTTAAAATTCTGAAGGCTAATGCTGCCTTAAAAACTATCACACACACACTTCACCATTCATTCTCCTGGGAAGTGATACTTCTGAGTTGCTTTCTATCTTACTGCCATGTTCTGAAAAGGACAAAGATAGTTGAAGCTTTCTGTCCAATTTTGTTTAACTTTGCTTTCTCTGGCACATATATGTGTGTGTGCATAGAAGCATGATATCACCTCAAGTCATAGGCAGGCATTTTCGATTATGGCTTTTACAGTGTATCTTCATCTCAGAGACAGGTCATATACCCATATCTGCATACACACAAATAAGGCCTATTGTTATCATTTTCTCCTTACATTACTTAAGATATGCCAAAAAGAAAAACCTAGAAAATTAATTATCGCCCTTTAGGTTATTTTGGCCATGGGAAATTGTTTTCTAGTATTTGTATATGTACAGTTAGAGGGGGGGGGATTAAAAATATTTTAGTTAGGTTATTTGTTCTATTATATAGTCAAAATGTTGAATAAATTAGATTTGATTTACTAAAAAAAAATTAGGAAAACATGTTCATACATACAAATAAATATACAACCAAGTAGACTTTTATGCTACCACTATGTATACTATAACCTGAAAAGGAAAGAAAAAACACTTTGTGGTTACAAGGTGCATATTGTTCTTTGTTCACTTTTAATAAAAATAAAATATAGATGAACAAATTAAATATTTACATATAACAATTGAGAGTTAGCCACAAATTACAAATCATAAATTTGTTATAAAAGTCACTTCTCATGGAGATTTGACTGGGAGTGCTGAGCACACAATACAGTGTACAGATGATGTGCTGTAGAATTGTGTACCTGAAACCACATAATTTTGTTAACTAGTGTCACCCCAATAAATTAAGTAAACAGGAGGTAAAAGTGACTGCTTTGCCCAAACTTATCTTCTTTAAACTTTCTTCTAAAAGCGATTAAACATAAATATATACAACTCTTCATTAGTCTATTTTCTTATTAGAAAATTTCCTCCTTAAGTGAATAGTAGGTATTGATTTCTGACTTTTGCTCATTGATAGCCCATAAGACAAGTTTTATTATCAGTCCTTATGGTTTATAAACAGTTTACCTTGAATGGCAAATTTTGACGATTTTAGCAAAATTTTATTAAAATTAATGGGATGAGATCTGATTTTGGCCAAAATTTTCTAAAATAACAGAACTGAGATGAAACAATGCATTGTGGATGGCTATGGCCAATCCATTAGGCACATAATATTATTGTGGAAATGGTCATGTTTTAACTATCGCACATTAGAAATAAAATCCACATTATGGATATCCTCATTAGAAAGATTTAGATAGATGGAAAAAAAAAATAACAACAACCATAAACAGCAAACCTTCCAACAGAGCACTGAGCAGTGATTTAGCCTTACAGTTGATAACCAACCCTTTCAGAAAGAATTGTAGAAGCAATATCTTTCTTCAACAGCTTCAGATATTAGAAAACAGAGTGTTTCATCAGAGTGATCAAAAAAAAAAAAATGAGATTTGGCTCAAAGGCCAACAATGTTAATAAGGAAGGCTGACTTACCTTCTCTTCAAGTTTATTACATTTTTTTATTCCTTAAGCTCTTTCTTTTAAAGATATAAAATTGGAAGTGGTATACCTTAGTAGGAACTGGGAGGGCATTATTGAAATCACTGACAGAATACATTCCACGAATATTTTTATGGAGTGAGGCTATTATGATACCAACACATCACATAGACAATAATGGGCGTCGAATCCTGCTATTTGTAATCCCCAGGCTGGGGGAGAAAATCTGCTTTGGCATCACTGAGAATTGGGAAATAAATGATGGACGCGACTATTTTTGCTTATCTAACTTTGGCGTGGAAAGCTATCTTGTTATAGGAAATATCCTTCCTGAGCTCTGTTTCTCAATCGCATTACACCTCACTCCATTCTCTGTTTGCTAGCTCCTGCGGCCACACGCCAGGCTTAGAATAAAACAAAGTTAACTCCCGGTGGGGTGCCTTTTGTGAGGCCTCTCCGAGTAGGAAGAGAGAAACAAAGAGCAATAAAGAGATGGAAAGAATACAAAAACAAATAAAGCACCCCCAAGGAGAGGTCAGGGGGGTGGGTGGGAAAAGGAAACATCAACTGGGCCAAGCATCTTAAAATCACACACTTTTTATCTTTAGCTAATAAGCAGGCGTCGCATGTCTTCTCTGTTTTGGGGAGTTGCCTTCAGAGAGCTGAAACATAAATTCCAACTATTATACTACATAAGGGTCTTTCCTAAGCGCCCCCTGAAACTAGGGAATGGGTAATTAAAAGGTGACAGCCACCTCCCAAGTACGGCTTTGGCTTATAGGCAGGATGGTCATTTTTCAGTCATGTGGGGTCAGGCTCAGACGTGCTCCAACACACTGTCATAGGGAGCCTGTGGATGTAAGACGTGCAGGGACATTTTCCCGCTCCTGGCACACCCGTTCCCCCCCTGCAGAGGCCTGCGAGGTGGGGAGAGGGAGGCCTAATCCCAGACCCTTCTGTTCTTCCTGGGAGGAGGCCTGAGCACGCCTCACCACCGCTGCTGCTGGGGGTGGAGGTGGAAGCTGGCTCTGCCTTGCTACTCCTTAGCTTTCTCCTCCTCTCACAATCCCCCCTCCACCTCTCGGGCTCTTTTCTCACCTCGCTACCCTTGTCGTGCCTGCGCATTGCCAAAGCGAACCCACCCTGCGGGCAAGGCGGACCAGTGGCCTCCTAAACCTTCTGGAATAGCCTCACCTAGGAGGGCACAAAGCCCCCTTTTCCAGTTTTCTCCTCCCGGGATGGAGAATTCGCCCCCCTCCACCCCTGTCCCACAGAATGGCAGGGCTGGGAGGGTTGCACAGCATCAGGAGCTTCTCTGAACGTCCCCAGCCGGGGCCCAGAGGCCGTCCTGGCCAGGTGAGCCGTCCCTGGGGGTGGGCCCGCTGCCCACACATGGCAGTCAGCTGCGCCAGCGGCTCTGGCTCTGGCTCCTGGCACCGCCGGGCCCATAAGCAGTGCCACCTGGCAGAGCCGAAAGCTTTACCATGCAAATGCAACCGCCACCCCCCTCCTCCTCCTGCCTCGGTTGTCAAAATCACTTCCCCACAATCCACAGGCAGGCAGTGGGTTCTACCCTCGGGGGGGAAAGGCAGCTTAGCCTGTGCAAAAATAACCCCCCGAGGACGCAGGCCAGGTCCCGGGGTGCAGCCTGGGCAGCCCGATGCCCGCGGGGCGGGGCGGGGCGGGGCGGGGCGGCTGGCGGTCCCGGGGGAGCCCCGCGGGGCCCGGCCGCTCCGCTCCAGCTCCCGGGCGCCGCCGACTCCCGGAGCCGGTTCCCCTCCGCCTCGTCAGGAGGCTGCTCCGCCGTCCCCGCCCCTGCCCACCCCGCCGCCTCCCTCCCGCCCTCCCTCCCTCCCTCCCTCTCCGGAGCAGCCAGACGGAGCGGCTCCCCGCCCGCCGCCCCCGCCCCGTCCCGCTATCCGCCCCCACCCCCGCCGGGGCCGCCCCCGCCGCCCCCGCCCGCCGCCTCCTCCCCCGGGCGATCGGGGCATAAATCCGGGAGGAACCGGGCGGCAGAGAGAGAGCCCGAGAGGCTGGCCCCGGTCAGTTTCCAAAGTCGCCCTTGATGGCGGCGGAGGCCCGGCAGCCGCCTCGCTGAGCCGCCGCCCGCGCTCGGGGGTCCGCCCGCCGCCGCCCGCGCCCCGCGCCCCCCGGTCCCCGCGCCCCGCGCCCCGCGCCCCCCGGAGCCCGCGCCCGGCGCCCTCTCCTCCCCGCGGCCCCGGCGCGCCTGCCTCCGGGCCGGGGCGGGAGGCGGGATTGATCTTCGATCGCGAAGATGGCTGCTGGCTGCCGGCTGCTCTGGGCGCTGACACTTTTCCAATCGGGGCTGGTCCGCCTCTCGTCCGAGGAGCCCTTCCCCTCGGCCGTCACGTAAGTGGCCGGGCGGGCGGCCGGGCGGCCGGGCGGGCAGGGCGGGGAGTCCGGCCGAGGTGCCGCTGCAGCCGGACTCCGACCGCCCGAACCGCGGGGAGTGCGGTGGGTCCCGGGTGGGGAGCGGGTCCGCGGGGACCCGGAGGGAGAGGCCGGCGGGAGGGGATGGGCTCCGGGGCTCCGAACCCGAGCTCCGTCCGGGGGGCTGGCAGCCGGGGCCGCGCGGTGCCCCCCCCGGGCAACATCTGCCCCCGCCCCGCGGCGCCTGTGCCCGTCTCTCCAAGGAGCCCTAGACGGTGGAGTTTGCAGGCTCAGCCTCGCGGGGGAAGAAAGTTTGCAGCCGCTCAGCCGCTCTCCTCCACACAAAGTTGTGCGGCGGCCGGGCGTTTTGCAAACGGGCAGTTCCAGGCTGGGCAGGGGAGCCCGCGCCGCCCCGCACTGGGCCCCCGGGGTGCTCTCTGGGGTCCGCACGCCTCCAGGTCCCCAGGCGCCGGGCGCCCCGGACGGACAGACGGCCTTTCTGGCCTGAAGGGGCCCGCGCCCCGCCGCCCAGCAGCACCGGCCACCCAGGGCCACCCTGGGCTCTGGCAGGTAACGGGACCACCCTTTCTGGGAAAAGCATCTAATTGCCAGGAGACCTGCGGCTCCTGTTCTTAGGATGAACTGAACCTCTTCTTGAACCTATTCTTTGGGGAAGGAATTGAGCCTCGCCAGAGTCTCCTGCAATTTTTCTCTTATTTTTAAGATCCTAAAACCACACACACACACACACACACACACACACACACACACACACACAAAACCTCTCCGCTTTTCTGGAAATAGCGTGTTTAAAGGTAGCCATGTAGTCACACGGCAGGAAGAGATTGAAAAATAATTCTCTCCCCCCTCTCTTGTAAGCAGGAAAAAGCAAAGTGAGAGGGCGCATAAATACACACACCTACTTTTTAAAATGCGCCCGAATAGTCTATCAGGCACTCAGGGAAAGCATTTATTTTAGTTCTCGAAGCTACTGTAAAGCTGGTGAGAGTAGGTAATCTTAAGTGCATGAGTCATTTTAATGCATTTTACATAACAAAAACAAAGCCCCAAAGGTAGCCTTCCCGGTATTTAGGATGTTGGGAATTATTGGCTGTCCTTTCCTCGACCAAGTGCTGAAAATGCTATAGTTTTTTTTTTGGCGGATACTAACTGAATCTTTACCAGCTGAAACCCTGAAACCCGGCAGCTATTAGATTCAGCTTAAAGTATTTATGGCGTTAGGTACCAGTGCAAGCATCTGACTGATGCACATTCTAACCCAGAGGAGGGAAGTGTCTACTATGTTTGTCATTGATTTACAGTCCTGTTCCTCTTTAGATAATCTTCCATAAAAATGATTGCAGATCCTGTTTTTGTTATGAAGCAAAAGGGTAAATGCCATCTGCACACCTTCTTTTAATTGGCAGCATGTTCCAAGCAGATATTTAAAAAACATAAAGATAGGGAGGATTGCCCTAAAGATACTTCAAAATTATTTACTCTTACTAATTTTTTACTCTTTCTATCTTGGCCTATACAGCAAGAACTCCAGTGACTCCCTTGCATTTTGTGTCAAATAAAAGGGCGTGTGCTTAGTGTACACATTTTTAGTCTTATTTTTAACTGACAATTTATCATCATTTCTATCATTTGGAGGTTATGCGTCATCACACCGTTGGGGAAAGCTATGATTTTAAACTAAAACAAACTACAACCTTTTATTCTTGAATGTGATATGGTAAAATATTAATGTAAAAATCCTTATTGTAAGAACAGCTTTCATAAATGATGTCCTAAAATTAAAATAACTCATTTTTCTTGGTCAGAAATTTACCGGAGACAAGAAAGAAAAGAGGCAAAAATAGGAATTAGGAAAATAAATTTTCTTTTTAATATTTGAAATTTATCTTTTAACAATGGAAATTTAAGATGTCTTCAAATTATATGAAACATCATTTCATGAAATAAAAGCTTAGTAGACGATTTTGTAGGTCTAAACCAGTATCCTATTGATAATATTAACAATATTTTTGTAAGACTCTGTATCTTCAGTTATTTATTTGGAAAGTTAGTAACACCATCTTCTGAGGAGAGGACAAATGATAATTGACATCTGTACTTCATGTTAGATTTCTGAATAAAAATTTTTAAATTGTAGCATTCTTTTTATCAAGATGTGATGCCATTTGCTTTTCTTGAAAGAAAAAAAATCATATGAAATGTTGAGATCAGGAAAATTCTCAAGTCTTGAGGGAAAATTCCAAGTTTATAAAAACTGCACACAAAGATGATAGCATTCACTAAAGGCACATTATTATGCCTCTATGTCTAAGTTTCCCATTAGTAAGTCTTCAGTAAATCTTTTTTTTTTTTTTTTGATGATTTTACTTTTCTGAGAAAAGGTAACATGAGAAGTTTTGATTATCAGAAAATGATACCATCAACACATTATAAAATTAATTATGCACTTACTGGACTGGGGCCTCAGTTTGAGCTAGTAATTCACAAAGTGTTTTTGTTTTTTTTTTAGAGTGTTTATAATATTAAGAGCTTAAATTTTCTTATAATAAAGCAAAAAATATTCTAAGGAGCTTTAATTTTCTGCTCTCTGCTTTCTCATACATTCTCATAGCAGATTCTTCTGGATTAAAATAATAGTTAAACTGTTCTAAATGTTAATACTAAAATAACTTTTTTTAATACAAAGAAATTTTGATACAGTTCTTTGCTAGCTTATGTTTTCCTTGTGGAAATGATTGTCTCAATAAGATGTGAAACATATATATGCTATATGGTAGCAACCACCTCATGTCTATTGGTTTATATGTAAATTACAGTATTTTCATGTTAAAATGCACGTTGCATTGGTAGTTTAAAATACAGTTTTCAAAAAAGGGAGCTCTTACTTGTTCTAGAAATAATTTCTTGACTCATACATGAAAACACTTCTATTTTAAAACTCAGGGTAATGTGTAGGGAAGCCAGTATTGTAATGTTAATTTAAACCTGCCCCTCTTAATTTTAGAACCTATTTATAAATCCATTTTTTTTAAACATTGTAGTTCTAACTACTCATACTAAACTTTTATCTCATTCATATGGAAATGCCAATCAGTCAAGAATAATTGGCTGAGAGACCATTGGTATGTGGTGGTTTTAATATAAACTGTATAATGGGATAAATTACAGGTGTCTACATGAAATACAGGTATATATATTTCTGTTACTAGATAAATTTAAACTTAAACGTTGTAGAACTTTTTTTTTTCCTGTCATTGCAATGGCTATGACTTGGAATGGGTATCTTTACTATGTGATAGAAGTAACAGTTATTCTCATTTGGGCTTAGCAATTTCTTTTCACATATTATGTATACAAGAAAATGTGTTCTTGATAAAATGAGATAAATAATAAATGTAAAATAAAACCTTAAAACTATGAACTTCAATAAGTCTCTATATTAGACCTTTAATTTGTTCTCATCAGCTTACACACATGACGTTTATTATTTCACAGGTGTGTGTTAAAATATGCAGCAGTAGATATATATTTTTTCAAATAAATAGTACCATGATGTTAAATTTATTAATGTTTGCACATGGGTGCATGTGTAGCTATTTGAATTGGCATTTGGATGAGCATTAGGTTGACAGAAATGGATATAAACCAAAAAATTTTTCAGAATTATACAAAGGCATAACTTATTATAGTTTATAACAAGGAGATAAAATGTGCCTTTATTTTTTTCATGGGTTTCATTAATTAAATATGTACATATAAAATCAGAATCAGTAGCAAACTGTTCATTTTGGAAAATATAAAAAATTTACCACTGTTTCTTCAAAGAAACCTCTCTGCTTTCTTTTATTTCTCTAGTATTGATAAAAATAACTTAGTTTTACACATGTCAAGGTTTTGCAGAAACCTAAATAATGTGTGCAAATTATGAATTCAAGTTTAGTATTTATATTTACAGTATATATTCATAAGAAATAACAATGCATTTAGGAACTTTAAAAATAATTTTAATCATTGGTTTTCAATACACATATAAATTTCCAAGGAAGTAATATGTTCTCAATTCACATCTTATTTTCTTGTATGTATCTTCAAACTGTTTATAAACTTAAACTGGAGATTTAAATGGTTAAAGTAAAATGCATTTTAGGCAAATTGCCAATTTATGGATTTACATGTATGGACATAATCAGTTCTAACATACACATATATATCTAGAAATTTGAAAAAAAAATTAAAATTTCAGTATTGCTCTTAAAATGACAACCTTTCATTATTTGTAATAAAGGGTTGGCCTGTTATAGTGTTTGACAAAGCATTGTGAGCTGCTTACCAAGGGGAAAGACTCTGTTCTATTGCATCCACTCCACTTTTATTGAAGGCAGATAGTGTGCATCAGGCGCTATAGCATTCTATGTCAGCCAGTCCTTTTCCTGGATTCTCTGCTTAGCACCACACCTGTTCGCAAGCCTTTCATACGGTTGCTTTCCAGTGCATGTGGAACTATACTGAGACACCCAACCACAGAGCTTACACATGGCTCATTTTTTTTTCTTTTGTGTGCACGAAAAGAAGAGAAAAATGATTGTGTCATATTGTTTACAGAGTTGAAAGAAAGACGGTTTTGACTTCAGTGTCACTTGAGGTAAAAATGGTAGCCCTCTGTGAAAAATACTGTATTTGCAATATTTCCCTTCTGGGTCCAATATATTAACATTGTAAAATTAGATAAATTGCCTAGTTTATGTTACTATAGTACTCTATTTAATAATATTTTATGTGTGTGCAGATATACTCAGTGTAGGGCAAACGTAGGCTTCCGATTGTTGGTATGGAAAAATAACACAGTAATTAATAAATAATAATACAAGAATAAACTGTTTCATCTACAATTGCAAACCTACTTTTGCCCCAACCTATTTTATTTTACTTTTTTTATTTATTTTTTTAAATATATATTT